AAATATGGCTAATCCTAACGATAATTGTTGTATAAGGAAATGTAAAATATATAGTTAACAAACAACAGTAATTTAAGAATAAACAGTAAATATGCAACAATAGAATCTAACATCGGTTGTTGATATCTTTTCGCTGTGAATTTGCAACGCAAACGTATTTGCTTTATAAGTTTGGATACACACAGATGGTTGCTATATTTTCTCTTACTATTTGTAAACTATTTAAGGAATTCGAAAATCTTTTAAGGAAATTAGAAAAACGAAAATACAGTAATTTGATAATTTTGTCCTTTACACTTCACCAGGTTTATAAGGTTAAAACAATAGGTTCTAATTTTCTATGTTAAACATATACGATTATGTTCAAAAAGTATCATGAATTTTAAATTTCCAATGGAAGCTACCGCACGAGCCAAAACCGAAAAAAGCGCGTTAAGTTAGGTCGAATGTGAAAATTTCGCTTACGGTTTTCTTTAATTGGGTAGAACGGTCAATAAGGAATATTACCTGCAAGTTATATGCAATTTGCGCGAAAAAATCCGCCAGAAACGTCCGGATTTGTGGAAGGACAAAAATTGACTTTCGCACCATGATAACGCCCCTGCTCACACATCGTTGCTTGTGTGCGAATTTGTGGTCAAAAACAATACACTAATAATGCCGCAGCCACCGTGTTCCCCAGATCTGGCCCCCCTCTAACTTTTTCTTGTTCCCGAAACTGAAGAGGCCCATGAAAGGACTACGCTACGCTACGATTAAGAAGATGAAGACGGCACCGAAGGAGGAGCTGAATAAGATCCCAAAAAAAGATTTTTTGAAGTGCTTCGAGAATTGAAAAAAATGTTGGCACAAGTGTATAATATCTGGTGGGGTTTACTTTAAAGGGGACAAAGTAGATATTTATGAATAAATAAATAATTTTTGAGAAAACACAAATTTTACGATACTTTTTGAACAGAAATCCTACTTTGCGTAGAATGACAGTAAATATTGTCTTCCTTGATCGAGATAAAAAGAATTTTTTCTATCCTTCGGGGACGGATTGTTTTTTGATAAAAGGTACCCTATGTGTTGTTCTGTTCCCTTGACAATGTGTATAGAAATTTCCATGATAATTGGTTGACTATAGTTAAGAGGTGAAGTGTATTAAAAAGAATTTACATTCGCATTTATAATTTCAGTAAGGATAATTTGGAACGTTTTTGGACTTATTCGTACTATGTTTGCCAGCCCTATATCCTATGATTGTTTTGTTGATTGGCCTAATAATTATTTTTTTATTTTTCCATTAAATACAATTAATTACCTTTTATAATAGATGAGACTTACAGTGGAACGGGGAGCCACTTGATTGACTCTCAGGAATCAAAGAAATTTATTATGTCATTAGCGAGCTGCACTTTTGAAGTGATTTCTATTAAATTAGTTGTTCACTTTAATTATTTACAATTGTAGATAGTATACAATTTTGAAATTTTGTTTGCATTTGTGGTTAGATTATAATTTGCAACGATTTATCTTTTTTAAGAGAAACTTGATTAGTGGATAATAATTATTTATTCTGCGAGATTCAAAACACTGTTGGGTAAAGGTGAAAATAGTGTACTGAAATTTTTTCTTTCGAGAACCAGTGATTTTTAAATTGTTTAGACAAATCGTCAGGAAAAAATTAGTGCAGGTCATTGATAACTTAAAGATATCTAAAAAATCTGTCTAGGTCCTAGAAGACATGTTTTATTTCTCATTTTATCCATCCAGTTGTTGAAAAATAAATGCATTGTAATTCGTAGAATTCTAATAACGGATATCTGTTAGAAGCAGTGATGCGATTTATTTGAAAAACTCCAAACTACGCTTAATTTTCATCATAGTCGAGTCCAGTTAAGCATTATCCTGTAATAGCGTTCTTATATCTATTTAGGTATCCATTTGGATGGCAAAATCCTGATTGGACAGTACGATTTGATTTGTCTCATTTTATATGTACGAATGCACATATTTAGATACATTCCTCTTTAACAAAAATGATTTTCACTCATCAGTAAGAAGTCCGAAGCAGTTAGCAAAAATTCAATAATATTCATTAACAGAAACGGAGGAACGTATTTCAGATAGTGTTAGTTTTGGCCATTTAATATTCTTTTGACCAAAAGTCATGTTGAGGTAATACGCTTGCGGTACAAAATAGACCTTTTTTTAAATCTCTTTGGTGTTACGGTGCTTCATTTAATTAGTTAAGTAGCATTTTAGATTAGATTATTTAATTACGTAAATTTTAAATAGTAATTATATTTACGTAACTTTAATAGGATTTGCGAATTGCGAATGCTAGAGAAGTGCAGGTTATTGTTGTACACCTAGGTGTAGATGTGAATTTCAACTCAATACTAATCGTGAGCGTTAATTAAAACTGAATTTGGGTAGAGTAAATATAGTTGGTAATAAGGACCAAAAAACAGTAGGTTACAATTATTATTTTGTCTTATACAAAGTTTTCGATATGAAGAAGAATGGAAAAATATGAAGGGTTATGGTAACAGCGTGCATACATATGTATGTTTTGGCTTTGCTGTGTATTCTTTTATAAATTATAAATTCTCATTGAGCATAGGAACTTAGAAGAACAGTCAGTAATAGTTTGAATTAATTTGACTTATTTAGAAATGTTCAGGGTCTTATGATGCAACAAAATAAATAATAAATTGATTTGAACTTATCGTTAGATGAATATTTAGTTATAATTTGAATTAATTTAAATCAGATTGCAACATAAAAATATTCTACTTTGCAATAATTTTGGACTGATTGTGAATGAAAATTAAATTTTAATTTATGTGACTAGAAAATTAAAGAAACAGTAATTATTTCTTATTAGTATTTACGTAGAAGATAATTTAAAAACTTTAGAATTAGCTTCTCCTATAAAATGATGAAAAAATGAAAATATACTTATGGATAATGTTGTAGCTACCTCAATATCCTGAATGTTATTTATGTCTTAAAATATAGGATGTTCAAAATTAAGACATAAATATAATTAATATTGTAAAATGTTAAACTGCGACATTAGATTCCGTATGGTAATGCCTTGCCTAACCTATTAGGTATATAATATTTATTATCGAATTAATTCAGAGATAATATTTAATCCTCACTGAAACGAATTCTTTAGTTTTATAAATCTCCATTTATAATAGAATCCCAATTATTTGTATTGGTTTTTTATTTATACAGTTTATCCACTGTATTTTTAATTGTATCATGGGAAAATTCGTAGTTAATAATAATAATAACTTTTTTAGTCGAAAATGACTACATTTTAATGCTGATTTGAATGACTTTATATGCCATAATCACCTAATAAAAATAAGTATAATAGAAACTAGCTGTCCCGTAATAATTTTCAATAACAAGAGTGTCAAACTTTATAATGGTCTAGTCCTATTATTACATACCGGTATTACGTGCTGAGATATAGGTCACTGGGCAATTAACTTGGTTTATATTTTTTACCGTTTTATTTGATTCAGTTGACTAGCACACTTGTAGAAGCAAGTGAATCGATTCATCATAACAGCAAAACTAAAGGTGTATTGGCGCAA